TAATATCCAAATCTTAGATCTATATCTTTCAAATTCATCAAGAAAATCAACAAAAAGCTACAAAATTTCTTCTCAACGTTTATGAATTATTCAATGAAAATTGACAATATCTCAAGATTTTATTAAGCAAACCTTCTAATTGAATTTGTTTTTGAGATCAAAATACATATTGTTCTAAAATATCAGACCTCTATCTTTTAAACTCACAGAGAAAATCAACAAAAAGTCTTACATGACCTAAATTTATTCTCAAACTTATACAACAAAAATTATACTATAACTCAAAAATTAATATAGTAAACCTTCTTTGGTGTCTTAAGCAAACTTAATCTTTAAATAAATTCACACATACTCCGAAAATTTCAATACTTACACTCTAGAGTTAAAACCTGGCTAATTTTTCTAATCCGGATATAAATATTATATAAAAAATAAATCCAGATTAATCTATTTAAATCCGAATATAAATATATCCGGATTAATCCAGATTTATGAAACTGGATATAATAATTAATCCAGATATATTTTATAATCCGGATATATTTATAATCTGGATATATTTTATAATCCGGATATATTTTATAATCCGGATATATTTTATAATCCGGATATATTTTATAATCTGGATATTTTATAATCTGGATATACCGATACTTACAATCCACGAATTACACTAGTTGTATACATTTTCATTAACTGCCAACTATCGAATCCCTAATAAAATATCATGCCCACATAACTAACATAACGTTCAAGCTAAATTGCACATATCACTCCCAAACCAGAGTATTACACCAGATATCAGAGTTAATACCTGGATTTATAAATCCGGATTTATACTATGTCATGTGATATAGTATTTTTAAATAAATCCTGATATAAATTTATATCCGGATTTATACTATGATAAGCCGGATTGAGGTATTAACTCTAATTTGGATATATTTAAGAACTGAACTTTTTAAAATTTAAATAAATATTAAAACTAATCAGAAACCGTATTTAGTATGAAGATAAATATTTAAGGCCATTAAAAAGTTCAACCGCTATTAATTTCAGATCAAAGTAACTCTAATAATAATATTAGATAGCTGCGCGACGCAGTCGCGTTTAAACCAGAAACGTAGCATATATATTTTCTAGAGTTTTTTAAAATAAAATTTATTTACTGCATAATGTTTTTTTTTGTTTTTTAAATATCGAAATTTAACTATAATTATTCTTCTTATAATTTATATGTATACATTTTCACATCCGTCCTAAGAATTAGGTATCGTTGTAAATTTTCTGTAAACATATAAAATAGGAATTATTGGTTAAACAAAGTAGAGATTTTAATCTCAATAGCATTCAGATCTGACGACCTGACAATTTAACAATAATGGATCAATCTTATAGTTATATATTTAAGAAATGAAGTAAATATAAATAAAAGCGCACACGTTGAATCCAAAGTTATGATCTACTTGTAGTAATAACTTCAGATATCTGAAATAGCATTAGATAAATCTATTACTTGATGATATATGAATTCCTAAAGGTTTAATTTCACTATTTCTACTTCAGTTATCTGAAATCGCTATATAGAGATAAAATGTTGAACGTACTAATACATGCAGGAGTGCAATGGAGCCCAATTGAGCTGTGATGGATCTATGAATGGAGCCAATGGATACTAGTTTCTTGAACTCCATTCGCAAAACTATTGAGCTCCATTGGCTTCATTAAAGAATCACAAACATATGAGTTGTGTACAATTTTATTTAGGCATATAACTTATATAAGTACGTACATATATATGTGTATGTGTATTAATATAAGATTTGCACACTGGCCATTTTAGTTGTCTGTTAACCATACACTTCGTAATTTACATTACTACGTACCTGGTATAAGTGCGTGAGAATTTAATGATTTACTATGATTGGTTGCAGTTTTTCACTCTCACGCACTTATATGATAAGTTCTAAAAAATTTGTACGTTTGTATGTATATGCATGTACGTACGTTGTAGAAGTGTAATTTAACTCTAATATCAACAAATAATGCAATATACAACTCAACTTTTCTAAACTAATATCAAACAAGATCCAAAATCCCCGAATTGGTAGCTTCGATCGGGGCATGGTTAGATTTGGTCCAAGTTGAAGACTTTGGTCTTGCAGATTGCTACTAGAACTTCGATAAGTATCTCTTTTACTTTAGGCAAGTATTTTTGTGCTAAATATGGTGCCTTTTATTAATGTCTTTGCTATATTTTCTCGTTATTACTAGTATACTGCTTATTTTTAGGTCACAGGATCATGTGATTTATTTCAGCATCAGTGGATGCTGAAATACGATTACGTAGTTACGATCAAAATCGAATTACGTATGTATTGCTTAACAATGGGATCAATCACAAATGCAATCACTAAGTTTTTATATAAATAGGGGTCGATTACTAATACGACCTCTTTCCTTTACTTCGAACGAAATAACGAAATTAGGTCTAACAAGAATCACGGGGACAAGAAATCTCAATAAACGAGAATACGATAACAACGTGTAACTAAAGGGCACAAAAGAACTACTACTATGGTTTGCTTAGTAGTTTCGAACTCAAGAGGAACTCAAGGGGAGTTTAGAACTCAATGGAGTTGCTTTATTCAAGGTAAAATATTGGTCGTTTATATATCTTTTCGTTACATGTGAAATAAATTTTGAAAATTTCTACTATTTACACTTTTTGAATAATTTATCTGTTTGCTATAATTTTGTTGTTTTACCGAATTTAAAATTTACGAAATTTTCAAAATCGATCTTGTGCTACGCCGATTGCGCATCTTTACCAAGTGGGGCGAATTCGACGTTTACAATGTACGTGCTCATATTGCATAAACTTGAATCATTTATCGCATGTTAGCTAAATGTAAAGAGACTTAAATAAATTATTAGATGCTAATCCAGATAGTGTATTGGTATTAAAAAATTAAGATGCAACATATTATCAGCTAAAGATTTAAATAAACCGTTAAAAATTGCTTCAAATGATGATTTGCTTTAAGAATCGGTGTTATACGCTATCAACTACATAGATATGACCAATTCAGCAAATCTTTAAAAATAGATTAAAATAATGCAGATACATTAAGAAAGCATAAGCTTATCGCATTATGGATGGGCATACAAACTTAAATAAATCATTAGAAATTGAACCAGATGAAGTATTCATACCAAAAAGTTGTGGAAAAACTTATTGTAAAATGGACAAATATAAGAAATCACTTGATAATTTAAATAAATCATTAAAAATTGATCCAAAAAGTGCGGGTCCATTAAAAAAACTCATTATTGATTAGGAAGATATGAGAAATCGCTTGCAGATATAAATTACTCATTCAAATAGCGCAGATGAAAAAAACATATCTGATATATAGTAAATATAAAGAATCACTTGCAGATCTATATTAACTATTAACGATCGAAAAAAACAATGCAATTGTGTTAGGGAGTAGCATTATCACAGGTAGATATGAACCTCTTTTAGACTTAAATGAATCATTATAGGATTAATAACAGATGAAATGCTTATTTACTATGCTTCATATGGTAATAGTCGACTAAGCCGACTAAGTTTAATTAAAATTATCGACTTATAAAATTTATCGACTATATATACAGTGAAAGATTCTAATCAATAATCAATATTATTTCTTCACTATACTAATCAAACCTTTATAAAAAAATAAAAAGAAAAAAAAAATAGGAAAGAAATAAGAAAGAAGAAAGAAGAAAGAAAAAAGAAAAAAAGAAAAAAAAGATAAAAAATAAAGAAAAAAAAAGAAAACAGAAAAAAGAAAAAAGAAAAAAAAAAGAAAAAAAGAAAAAGTTATTTATTTTCTAAAAATGGATAATTTCTTTTTAAGAATAACATCATGTTTACTAAATCTGGTGCAAGGCAAGTTCTTCTTGTGGATATAAGAGCACCAGCATCAGAGAACAAATGCTCAGAAGGAACCGATGTTGCAGGAATGGCTAAATATTTGCGAGCAAGCTGGGAAAGCAGTGAAAAATTTGCACATCGTTCCTTCCACCATATTAGAGGATCTTGGCTTTTATGAGCAATTTGCTCTTTCAAATACTTCGTCAGCTCATCTTCAGTAATGGTTTGTGGAGTGGGTGTTGAAAGTGAACCCCATAATTCAGCACTTAACGAATCGTATTCTTCTTCTTCTGTAGTAATACAAGCTTCTATTTTATCATTGTTCTGTCTAAATTGCGCTTCCAATATTGATAACTCTGCACGAATTTGTGCTTCAGTATTTCTACGTTCATCCTCAGTAGCGAATGGAAGTAATTTTAACACCCTTGGATCTAACATAAATGCTTTTAATCCTATTTCATCAGGGATACTCCACAATTCATCAAGAGATAAGTAAATCGCAGCGCGCATTTTTTCTAAAAGTCCTTCACACTTTGTAGGAGGCAAATATTTTATGTTATTTGTGGCATCTAATTCAGCAACAGATTTTACTACATGTTCAAACAATAAAAATATCTTAATTTATTATAATTAAAAAGATAAAAATACATAAGGCCACACCAAGCTAATGTTTCATTTGCATAGCACGCAGACTTTTTTTTTTTTTTATTGAGCACCAATAGTTATATTTTTGCAATTTATTTTTTTCCATCATTTTTATTTAATAGAGACCACCTGAATTATCTGATAGAACAAACAAAATAAAAAAAAAGCCAACAATCGACTTAAATTTCAGATTCCAGGTAATACAAAACGAAGAATTAACTTAGTGTAGCCTAATATATATGCACAAGAACATTTTAAAAATACCGCGTCTCTTATGTTTGCCACTTCTACAACCTCGGCCTCGACTATGTATACTCCGATGTGTATACTGCCATTGTTGTCTAGTTTCAGCTGAAGGTATGTTGGCCTCATTACCGCTACTAACACTTGTATCATTGTCTGAAAGGTTCTCTGATATTTGTTCAAAGTTTTCTGATAAAGATCCATAGATAAGAGCTATCCACTTTTCAAAAGATTCACCATTCTCAACTCGTGGTGCATACTTATTTTTTAACATACGAATATAAGGATATATAAGATTTATGGTAGGATATTTGGAGCCACTGAAATGTCTTGTTATTTCTTCAAAAGGTTTCAAAACATCAATCACTTCTTCTACAAATCTTAATATAAAAAAAAAAACTAGTAAATATGTAACTATAATACATGCATGAAATTCGAAAGAGTTTGAAACCGTGAAATCTTTTTTAATTGTTTAACCGCATTGTTAACTATATCATTTAACTGTGTTTAATTCATGTCAATATAATGTGGTCTAAAGCACCAGGAGCTCTAAAAACAAAACATAGTCATAATCCATTCGGATCTTGATTGTGAGTTTGTATTGAATTAACAACCTTCAAAAGGTTTAACTAGTTGTTATTTTCAGCAATAATAATATCCATCTATAATAGATATTAGTTTTTGTGTAAACGGTCATTCACCCGATAAAACTTCTGAAGTAATATAGGGCAGATACCAAAAATACCATATTCTGGATAGTATCTTTTTTTCAATACAATCCTAGATCTGCGATATAAGATTATATATTTTCGTTAGTACTTTGGTCTTACAAAACGTTATCACTATGAAATCAGTATAAATACATTCTGTATAGTCGTAAATACTATCTACCTGATATGAAATATCTTTAAGCATTTGTAGTTTAGTCTACTATGCAAGTTTACTAAAATTTTTTGAAGGCTCCTATTATTAGCATTCTGAAATATCATCAAAATTTAATCATAAATTAATTATTTTTTCCTTAGACCTGGCCAATATCCTGAGTACAACAATGCTGGGCTCGTATATACATATGTACTGAGGTTTAATCATATAAATTCAAAACTAATTAAGCGAATAATTTAACAGTTAATTAATCGTTTAATCATATAAAATAAATAAACAGTTAAATGCGGTTAAATAATTAACAGTTCCAATCCCTAGCATGAAATAACATCTTGTGGTGTTATTATATGCGGTAAAAACACTTAAAACTAAATACTTTTTTTCTTCAAGAGTCAAACACAATTGATCTAGTTTTTCTCCCTCCTTTTTAGATATTGTGTCTGGCTTGAACTGTAATGATGCAGCTAGTGAACGCATTGCTGGATACAATTCTAATATTCTTTTCTAGGCCAAATAGGCTAAGTTCCAACGCGTCCTACAGTCGGTTAATATTTCAAGGGGGTTAACTATTTCATCATTACTATCAATGTTTTGAGATTCCGCCGATGCATGACGCACTTGCATTTCCTTTAATCTTTGGGCTTGTTTTGGCAAACGAAAAAATGTTTGAATGTTTTTAAGACGTTAGTAAATATGCTTAATCTGCTTCAATCCTTCTTTCACAGAGAGCTAAAGGGTATGCGCGGCACAAGGATGCCGACAAGCTTCTACAAAATGATCATCTTTTAATAACCTAATTCCTTTCATCATATTGGCACCATTGTCTGTAATGATCATGCACACTTTATTTTCTATGTTCCATTCACTAATAATATTGAAAAGTTCTTTACTAATGTCTTCGCCCGCATGTGGGTAGGGCATGTTATGACATGTCAATAATATTTCTTAAAATTCAAAATCAGAAGTAAGCCATGTTGCGGTGACACCAATATATCTGTGCTTACTTTTTGAGGTCCACAAATCTGTCGTTAAGTGAACTATAGTGGCAGTATTAGCCAAGATTTCTCGAAGCCGATCTATCTCTTTAGAATATATTTCCGAAATATGTTTCTTAACAGTACTTGCGCACAGTATTCAATATTGTGGTTGAAATTCTAAAAGCAATCGCCGAAAAGATGAGTCTTGTAATATGTACAAAGGTTGAACATCACATACAATAAATTTTATCAGAACTTTAGTAAGTTCATTTTGTCTTTTAGTTGAAAGTAGAGGTAAATTGGTAATATAATTTGTGATTAGATTCACTTTTACTATTGGCTATATAACATACATTTAAAAAGCAAAAAAAAATATAAGTTATATAAAATTTTATTGATTGATCAATTAAATTAATTTTAGTTGATGCCTTAAACATTCTATCTGATTAAATTACATACTTCTTAAGATGAATCAAGATGTTCTTTATAGTTATTTGCAGTGATATTATGTCTTTCACGAAGATGGTGTGTTAAATATCCTGTGCTACCATCTGATTTAGAATATAGATATGGCTTCGTGCGGGTCCCTTTATATTCTTTGACACAAATTTTACAGTATTTAATTTGATCATCTTTCTTGTCATCTTCAAAAAAAAAACAGGTATAACTAGCATTAGTTCTTGAACTGTTTATTTGGATAGGTATAGAAAAAGCTGATGGTTTAGTTGTTTTGATCATTCGTCTTTTTTTTCGATCGTGATTTAAAAATTCTATGGTATGTAAATGTTCATTATTAGCTTCATCATTAATTTCATTATCTGGTTCATTATTAATTTCGTTATTTGAAACAGGACTATAAACAGTGCTTTCTTGAGGTGACCAAGAGACTTCATCTTCTAATGATATTGGCGATGTTAATCATTCTTGAGAAGACATTTTTTTAATCATAAAACATACAATAAAATTGATTCATATATTGTAAGAAATTTAATTATGATATATAACATATATATAACGATAAAGTTTAATCCGTATAGTATTGTATGGCAAACAATATGGTTGATTTATACATTATTAAGAAGCTTGATTATTTAATAGCATAATTCTATCATATGACAGACTTAGAATTCATTAAATTCTTTTCTTATCAAATTTGAAATAACATTCGATTTGGTATAGTTCACAAATATGGCGTATTTTAAATAATAGCCGATTACTTTGTATGATTTACTTGTTAAAATTAAAGTACATACGTACGTACGTATGTACAATAAAAATCAATTTATGTATCGTAAAAAGTTTGATTATGCTGTATAACATGCATAAATTTTATGAATATCGATATACACAAAGTTTATCGGGTTTGTTAATTTTTCCACTGGTTCCTATTGGACAAAATAGATCTTATCAAACTTAAAATTTTGATTCAATCAAATAATGACATACTTATTAAAGTATCATTAGAGCAGTATAAGGTTTAATAGAACATATACAAAATTTTTGCAAAAAACTTTTTGCTATAGGGATGTTAAAAGTTCGGACTGGTTAATTTCTTAAAAAGTCTGATCCTGAACTAGCTAAGAACTAGTTCATAACCCTTTCTAAAACCAGTCTAATCCTAGTGGTTTAATATATAGAACAATATTGCAAATTAAAAGGCTTTGAAATTACAAACTTATAGGACTAGTTTTCATTCTAATTAGTTTGAACTGTCCTTAAAAAGAATAGCCGTTCACCAAGCATCCCTATTTTGCTAGAAAGTGAAAGGTGGTGTCGTAGGGGTTTCTAACTCAAACGTCAAGCTTGCTATATTTTGTTGACCCTCAAAAGGTCAAACGGGGCAAAGTATCTCAACTCGAAAATAGAATATTTGGTAAGAAAAAGCACTTCTTATTTCTTTATTTACTCTTTTTACTTATATACTCACTTTGACTATTTTAAATTACATCATATTTCGATCACATTTGACTTTTTAATTAATCTCTAATCACGCTATTTTCTATAAACCTTATTATGACATTTCTCATGCATCGCTTACTAATTCGTGCGTCACTGATTTAACTAATTTAACTTTATTCCCATATGCACCGATCTTATGATCCCGATCCTATATCGATGATGACGTCATTTATTTCAGCATCAAAAGATGCCGAAATATGCCAATACAAAATTTTTTTATTTAATTAATTAATGTATACCGGTTCTATACCCCGGGTAAGTGCGCAATTCCACCACAGTAGTTTTAAGTTACTATGTAGTAATTTTTGAATTTTAACCTTGAATTGGATCTTACATTATTTGATTCGTTAAATTAAGGTTTGGTTTTGTATTAGATTAAGTTAGGAGTGAGAAAAGCTTTTTGTTAGTGAGCAAAAGGTAATTCGTAGAAAAATATTATAAACGATTTTCTCGAATTTATTCTATTGTGTTATGCCTGATCTTGAATTTTAATTGGGCAGTAAAAGTTTCTTGAGCAGTTGAAGCATTCTCAATCACATTCCAATTCAATGTAATTTTTTCACCTCTTACAAACATGAAATATCCTGTTATTTGGGATCAACATATGATTATGCATATGATACATCCTACGTATTCTTGGTTAAGACATGTTTTTATTTACTCAGATAATTAAGAATAAATATACGTAGTAATTTTATAATGATTAATTGATATTTAGATTTATTTATG